CCCTCCCAGGACGGCGCCGCTGCTCCGCTCGGGGTAAGACCGATCCCGCGTTGGGCTTGACGGGGGCGCGGGGCACCCGGCCGACGGGGAATAGCCCTCACCCTGAGTCTCCGCCAGAGGAGGATGCCAGGCGGCTACGGCGTTTGCAAAGTTGGCTGCTCAATTACCAAGGGCGCTGGTGCGTGCGGGACCGGTGCGGAGCCGCTGGGGGCTGGTGAATTTCCACCTACCCGCATTACAAGGGTTTCTGTGTGATTGCTGGGGCTGAGTTAGTTACATTTCTTGGCTTTGGGACTAACGCAAAAATTCAGATAGTCTGAAAACTCTGGATGGCACCCAATAAGGAAAACTTAGAGATGATTCGGCTGAGAGAAGGAGCGAAAGAAAATTGTTAGCTTGCACGTTCGGGGCAGTGCCTGCTGGCTCCCATAGGACAGAAATGCTTAGGTTGCAAGGAAAAGTCCAACGTTGGACTCCGAAAATGGAGCACACTGTCCAGGGAAAAGTCATGCGGACTCGTTCGTGCTCTTCCAAGGCTGGCCGGGCAAGAGTCTGGGGAGAACGCCTTCCCCGGACTGGCTGGGAGCGCAGCGGGGGCGCCTGGCTTTTGGTGTCAGACGCAGGAAGGAAGAGCGGAGCCCTCGCTGCGCTCATCCAGAATGCAGTACAGCCGTCGCAGACCTGGGACCGCTTCTCTAGTTAGCTATGCTCCTGCCAAGAGTTTCCGTAGATCTCCAGACTGGAGACGCCGGCCAGGTCAGCGCGGTGCTGACAAAGTGTTGTCGCCGCTGCAATAAAACCCCTATTTATGGGGAGTTGAATTGCTCATCTCTGTTAATGCGAGGTGCTGGGCACCTAAGTTAACTGCTACTAAGCGTATTCAGGATGCTCGAAGTCTAATCAGCTGGAATAGCTACACATTTCTCGCCACTTTTTTTTTTGAAAGACATTGTCATTAGGGGTGTAGGGTACCAGCCCATATCTCCGGCCTAGCGTCACTTTCACTTGGTGAATGAAACGCCTGAAGTGGGAAAGGTTTCTTTGAAACAACAATCTTGCCTGAGTGGCTGGGGGATACGTTATGGGGTGTCTGCTCCCAGGCACTGCAAGAAACAATTGTGGGCTTTCTGAGTGGTTGATTACCCAGGGGGTGCAGACTCCTCCCTGTTTTCTAAAAGGAACCTGGGATGCAGCTAGTTACTACACAACTATTTCAAGAATGAGTAACAACTATGCTTATGTGAATAGTGGCGAAGGTTGCTTATTTCCTTTCTTTTCTTGCTACAGCTTTCCTGAAGGGAGGGAGGGAGGGAAAGGGAGAGAGAGACACACAAAGAGAGAGAGAGAGAGAGAGAGAGAGAGAGAGAATCTACCAGCTAGCTTGAGCACCGTCCTTTGTGTATTGGCCCTTGCATGGCTCTGTTTGCTATTTTATTGAACCAGAAAGCCAGTTGTGTGAAGAAAGAGGATATGATGGGGCAGATGTCTTTGTGATGTCATAAAGAGGAGGGCAAAGTGTATGCCAGAGGCCAGATTTTCAATGCAGATCTCAGAAACCTGAACAAGATCCAACAACTGATTGCAAAATACAATCGCATAGGATTGTACATACCTCATTCCCCTTTGCTCTTGGTGTGTGCTATTTTTTTTAAAGAAAGGGTAGAAATCATCACACTAAGTTTGATGTTCCATGCCATACTTTTGAAGCAGAGAAAGTAACCAGTTTCTTCAGAAAAATATGAGGCAATTGCATATTTCTGCAAGAAACTGGAAATGGGTTCTACTGTATTTGTCCACAATTATCTTTTTGCTGCCATTAGAAGAAAGTGACAGGCTAATATCTCTATAGGGACTTTTGTTCCCTTTACTAGCGGGCTTTTACACCAATTTCTTGCAATTATTTTTTCCAGTGCTAACTCTACAAAGTTAATATATGGAAACAAAATCATTTTCTACCAAGTTGCTTTCTATCAAAAATGTGTACCTTACATCCTCCACCCACCACTTCCATCAGCCTTGCACAGAAAAAAATTACTGTGAGGCACTCTTACCTTTTAAGAAAGAAATTACCTTGCAAAATACCGTTTGAAATACTTAAATACAGCTAAAATTTCTAGGAAGCACAGCTACCGTCATAGGGCATCAAATGACACTTCCTCATCGCTCCAGTAAGTTGGGATAACAGGTTCTGAATATCTACTTATGGCTAACTGAGTGATTGTCCCACATGAGGATTTAAAAAGAAAAAGACAGATAGGTATCTTATTAAGAAATTATTGTGTAGTACCTCTTTCTGGCCCTACTTGCTGCGCAGTCATGATATCAACTTCCTGAAGCTGCATCTTTTGAATTACTGAAACTTTTTTAGTTGGAAGGGACCTTTGGTAGGTCAGTCATTCTATGCATTTTTCCCCTTGGTGCATTTTCAGTATAGACTTTCCTAAGATAATAAGAGCATAACAGCTTTTTCTCCACAGACAAGTTATTATTCTCCAAACACTATCTTGATATTTGTGCCACGTCAAAATTATTGTTATTGCTATCATTTCTGTAGTTCCCCTCAGTTAAGGGACTCAGGAGTATTTTCACTAGGTACCTAGACTTCTGCTAACTGTTCCTGTGATTCCCAAGCAACAAAATGACTGATTAATAACAAATTTACTACCATTAATATGGTAGAAGATATCATATTTTGGTCCTTGCCAAGACTCTACTGCCTAAGTTGCAAATTATCCAACAATAAAAGTGGTCTTACAGTTACGACTCAAAAAGTTCCACATGAAAAACTCCCATCACTAAAGAAATATATGCAGGGAGAAATTTACTCTTTTAGAGATTAGTGAACATTCAGATTGTCTTGAAATTGTAGTGGTCTAATTTAAAGAAGTTCCCATTCAAACCAGCATGTGTAAAAATTCCAAAAGATGCTTAAATGCATGTGTTGCTTTTTTTCTGGTCCGTGTGTGTGTGTGTGTGTGTGTGTGTGTGTGTGTGTGTGTTTTAATTTCTTTTTGATGTATCATTGCAACACATTTTAGGTAACCTACTCTTTAAAAAGCTCTGCTTGGAACTTGGAGTAAGATAAGTTCCATAGGGTGAATCCGCCTCTTCTTCTGACAGTCTGAAGGATTCTACTTCCAATTTAAAAATCTGCTGTAAAGTTTGAAATGTGTTCCAAATACATTAACATCCAGTATAAGCCAGTTGCCTTGCACTGCTTACTTAGTCACTGCAGCTCATTTGGGGAGGGGGTTCATCCGAATTAGGTTCTTGCTTATAAAAATAATTAGGAGTGACTCAGTCTGAGTTGCATTTTTAATAATACTTCAGCCTGGCTAATGCAAAAGAAGTGAAAAACATAGATAATCAAATATTCTCTGGTTTAAATTTTTCTGAATAATAATTCTAAATACAAAGACTGGAGAATATTGTCGTAATAGGAGAATTGCAAAAAAAAAGGAAAGAAAATAAGTTCAACACATGCACAGAATTTAACTATGAAAATGTTCCAAATATTACACAGGAAATATAGAATCACAAGGCTTGGGATTGATTTGTTCTTCCCTTTTTAATTTTTTTCACCATTTGGGCTTTTATCTTATTCTAAAGACAGATGAGAGATAGAGGCACTTCCCTGGATCTAAACAGAAAATTTTCTGTTCATGCTGGTCTCTTACAATGATGAACAACTACCTACATTTTTAAAGTTCTTATTCCTGAAGAATGCTCCCTTTTTCAAAATAGTATCGTGAGGAACTTCAAGTTCTCACTCATTAACTGTTGAACCAACTGAATATAGTCTTTGTGACATTATTACCTACAAAGTAGAAAGATAAGAGGAAAAAGGGAAAATACACATGGTCCTTCAAAAAGATGGCATACCCTCATTTACCAGAAAAGTAAAATAAATTCAGAACATTGAAGCCAAAATAGTTGGGCCAAAGGAAAACATCTTCAACCAGTAGTCTAGCTGTTGAAAACTGAACTATATAGGAAATTTTCAACTCTTCCAACAGAGACACTGAAGATGAATACTCAGAGGACACATTCGTGAATGTAAAGTAGATCTATGTGCATAGAGGGTCATATCTCCCATCCCTGCAGATCGTTGGAGGTGATTTCACCTTTCTTCATCTGCTGAGCATCTTTACACTGACATTGTTAGAAAGTTTCCTTTGCTTAGCAATCATATCACTTCACTGAGAGTTATAGGAAGACTTTAATTAAAGCCAGAATGTTGCTATTAAATTTGATTTGCAATGAAAATAAGCAATTTGGGTTGCAGGCTTTTCCTAAAATATGCAGTGTATCTTATGGAAGAGAGCAACCTGCAAAGAAGATGCAGAACATAAAGCTAAAGTACCATGGCTGTGATTTATCTTCATGTCTCATCACTTGAAAAAGCAGTGTTTTTCTCTTTCTGTCATTTCCTAAATGGGTAAGTGTGGCCCAAAAAAAATGTTTTAGAGACTTAATAAGTTATGGGAATGGAAATCTACATGAAAAAATTAAATTCAGGAGATGTCCAAGTAAATAAAATAAAAAGAGGTAAAGAAGCAAATTTTTACATAAGAATGAAGCATAAAGAATCAAAACAGAATCAAAAATACTACCTATGCACAGGCTGTATTTTCTTCTTTATAAATGATGCTACTGTTAAATACAATTTTATAGACATGACCACATCAATAGTGTGTTCATACATACTATTCTATTGTACCACAGAATGCAAGCTTGAATATTATTCTTTAAAAATATCACTATCTAAAGGAGACAATACTGGATGATCATAAACCAGATCTGAAGTTTCATAAGAACCAAGGAAATAGTTTTCTTAGTGCTTGAAGAATATCAACTC